AGTCTTTGTTATAGTAGCTGATTATACACGTATGTTATTATCATATGTTCCTTTCCTCATTATTGCTTCTTTCCCATCATCTTTTAAGATTTGAATTCATTTATTCTGAAGAATACCTTTCAACAGCTATTTCAGTAAGTCTGTGACTTTTTTCATTAATCTTTAGCTCAAAATGTCAATTTGGGCATCGATCTTGAAGAATATGAACTTTCAGAGTTGGGAACAGAATGATTTTTTTTCTTAGCACTTTAATATTTTGCTATTGTTTCACAGCCTTTGATGTTATTAGTGAGAAGGCTACTAAAGGTAGGTAATTTTTAAAAAACCTCTGTGTGTGTGTGTGTGTGTGCGTGCATGCGCATGCACACATGTGGTTGCCAGAGGCACACACTGCCTATCTTTCTCAGTTGCTCCCCCTCTTATTTTTTGATGCATGAGCTCTTACTGAACCTGGAGCCCAGTGATCACCAAGAAGACTGGCCAGGGAGCATCTGGAATCCTGTCTTCTCCCCAGCATTGGGATTACAGGTGCATGCCACCACATGTGACTTTTTGTATGTAGCCTGGGGATTTGAACCCAGGTCCTCATGTTTGTTTATCTATTGAGCCACTGAGCCACCTCTCCTGTACCCCTGTTCTTACTTCTTGATCGTAATATTTTCTCTTTGTATTTGGTGCCGCCCTTTCATCATTATGCACCTAGTTGGGGGTGCAGTTCTACTTGTTCCACTTAGGACTGTGCATGCTTTTGTCCTATCTCAGTATTCACATCCCCCATCAGATCTGATCTATCAGTCATTGAGTCTCTTCTAATGTTACTACGATTCTATTTTCTCTATCACCTTCAGGAAGATGCAAGTTGAATTTTCTTTCTATTCCCACATTATCTCCTATTTCAAATTTCTAATCTTTTATCTTTCTGTGCTGTTTTCTGGATTAGTCCCCTACATGATCCTTCATTCATTAATCTCCTTTTGGTTGTGTCTAAATTCTGCCTAACCACTAAACTCTTTCTAAAGTAGCAATAACTACGTATTTCTGGTACTAAAGTTGTATCACTAAAATGAAGTTATTTCCAAACTTCATTTCCTCCTGCATTAAGGTTTCCTTTGCTTCTCCATCCTCTTAAATTAATTTACATATTGATTTAACAGCCTCTTTCAAGTTGATCATCTCTCTTTTTTCAGGTGATTTTCTCTCTTAATTCATTATTTCCTTGTGTAAAATAAAAATAAAGTCTACACTCATGAGCTCATCTTCAGAGAATTGTGGCTGGGCATGGTAACACACATCTGTAATCCCAGCACTTGGCAAGTAGGAGGATCAAGAGTTCAAAGCCACCCTCAGCTATGTAGTAGTGAGGCCAGAGTAGGTTATATGAGAGGAGAGAGAGAGAGAGAGAGAGAGAGAGAGAGAGAGAGAGAGAGAGAGAGAGATTTTTATTCTAATGGTAGTCTTGTATATCTCAGATGCGAACGTATCCCTGCAGAATAGTTTTGCTTTTTCTTCTCCTGAGAGCCACAGGTTTTTTTTGTGTTTGTTTTTGTTTTTTCTTTTTTTAAAAAAAAAAATTTATTATTTTTATTTTCTGTGTATGGTTGTATTGCCTGCATGTATGTAAGCACACCCATGTTGTGCAATGCCCAAGGAGGACAGAAGAGGCTGTCAGATCCCCTGGAACTGGAGTTACGGACAGTTGTTAGCTGCCATGTGAGTGCTGGGATTCGAACCCAGGTCTTCTGAATGACCAGTCAGCGTTCTTAACCGCTGAGCCATCCCTCCAGCCCCAAGCCACAGTTATTTTATTGACAAGGCCAGATTTAATTTCTGAGCTCTTAAAGCTTTCCACCACACCCACGTGTTGCAGAGAGGGAATTTTTTTTCGCATGAAGAGCTACGTTCAGACCCTTGCCACATACACGTGCTGGAATGACAGCTTCCCAGGGAAAGCACCCTTGTCTTCTCTGAGTCAGGGTCTAAGACCAGCATCTTTCTTAGCAGGAAGTTGGATAATAAATGTTGAGCAAATCAATCAACTCAGGAGCCCTCTCCACCCCTCCCGCCCATCTCTTGGCCCCATTACCTCTCGGATCCTCTTCTGCCACTCCTCAATGAATTCAGGAGAGCTGGTGTTCACCTGGCTGGCATTGAGCGTCCACTCAGGGCACTTCCAGGATGGAAGCGAAAGCATAGCCACAGAGGGTGCCACAAAAGCAAAGGTCCCTCCCTGGAGAATGGGCAGCCTGAAGGAAGAGGAGGATGTGGTTACCACCAAGATCCACTCACACTTACCTATCATGAGCCCCAGGGGCCTTTTGAGCCAAAGTCCTAACTTAGAATTGAGACAACATATGGCCCCTGCTGCTTCAGTTACAGGGAACTCCTGTTATGCTCCAAAGTAAGTCCAGGAACCCTGTGCAAGTTTGGAATAGGGATCAGAAGTGGGCAGGGGAGAGACACCAATCCCACCACCAGTCCTGGAGATGCAAAACCAGGAGGAGGGAGCCGGGCTCTGAAACACTATGTGAAGTCAGTATGGAACATTCTCTACCCTGACCCCAGAGAATCCTCTCGACCCCAGCAAAGTTCACATACATCTAGTTCTCCATCTCATGTTCCCCTAGAAGTTATTCCCACACTGTTGGAAGCTGTGTAGCCTAAAATCTGGTTGCTGGACTCCTTTTGTGTTCCCATGAACCAAGGGCAATCCCAGGCCTTTATCCTTAGGCTCCTTATCTCACAACAAGTTCATTCTCACACATGTTCCCAGCCAGGCCCTTCTCACTTCTGGAGACCTTTGCCCTCTGGCCTCTGTGAAAACTAACAGTGTTTATGCAGCCAGCCCATGGAGACAAGCCACACAGCCTCCAACAACTCTATTCACTAGGGAGTCAGGCTTACCTACACAGTCTGCTTCTCTGGACATTAGAATTTGGGGTGGGGGATAGGGACTCCTTCATCTTGACTGCATCTGTCACTGTGACCTACCAAGTTCAGGCATTTCTGTGGGGTAGGGAAGGTGCATGGGCATATGTGTGCATGTGGAGGCCAGAGGACAACCTTGAGTATGGTTCCTTAAGTGCTATCCAGCTGTCCTCCCCGCCCCCCGTTTTTTTGTTTGTTTGTTTGTTTGTTTGTTTGGTTGGTTGGTTGGTTTTGTTTTTTTAACACAGGGTTTCTCACTAGCCTGGAATTCACCAAATAGCCTAGGCTGGCTGGCCAATAAGCCCCAGAGATCCACCTGTCTCCATCTTTCCAGACCTGAGATTACAAGCTACCATGCCTAGCTTTTTTGTTTTCTTTTTGAACATGGGTTCTAGGGATCAAACTCAGGTCCTCATGCTTGACTGAGATGTCTTCCTGCCCAAGATCTGGTACTTAAAAAAAAAATAGACTATACTTAAGAAGGACATTTTTGAATCTGGACTTCATAAAGGATTAATTCCTGAAAATAACTGCATATGTCTTATGTACAGAAAATGTAAATTATGTGAAAGAGTTTTGATCTCTAAGTAGCCTTTGTAGCCTGGTTGAACATTAGAATGAGGGACACTAGGCCTTTCTCCAGACCCACCAGTGCCCTTAGAGTTCAGGCAGATCCAACATACAGCTAGAGTATAGAGTCACAAATCTAGGTCCATGGGGTTCCAAAACAAAATAGAATACATCATGCAGACAGGATAGGAACACACTTGTGGTGTTATGTTAATCTATGTGTATGAGTGCAGATGTGTGGTTTTCTCAATTTTAGAATTGTGAAGCTAAGCATCTGGGTAGAAAAGGGAAGAGCACTGTATTTGCATCATTGCAAAATCCCTCCTGAGCTTTTGAGCATTTTGAAATGAATGTGTACGTATTGTATAGGGAATAAGCAAAGCACAGAGTTTGCAATATATGATACAGAACTTACATGTTGCTTTTTTGCATAATGTATAATATAATTCTATACATATGATTCATTCATCAAATGCTCATTGAAGACTTGTCATATGACAGGCATTGAGTGCTAGGGACCAGAGCTATGATGATGAAGAGGAAACTCCCACTTGGACAGTCATCTGCCCTTATCCATAGTTTTGCTTTCTATGGTTTCAGTTTCATGTGGTCAAATGAGTCAGAAAACATTAATATTTATCTTGAGTCTTTCAAAAGACAGATCATTATTAATATCATAATCTGTCATAATTATTATAATTGTTCTATTTATTACTAGCTATCATGTTAATCTCCTACTGTGCCTAATGCACAAATCAAACCTTATCACAGGGGGCTGGAGAGATGGCTCAGGGGTTAAGAGCACTGGCTGCTCTTGCAGAAGACCTAGGTTTGGCTCCCAGCACCCACATGTCAGCTAGCAACCGTCTGTAACTCCAGTTCCACGGAATCCAATGCTCTCTTTTGACCTCCACAGGCATTGTATATATGGGTACACTTACATACATGCAGACAAGACACTCATAAAATAAAAATAAATAAGAATGTTAAAATTGAATAAAATAAAAATGTAAAAAAAAAAAAAACCCACCTTACTACAGGCACATACATAAGGAAGGAACGTGGTATATTTAGAGCTCAATGTTAAGTGCAGTTTTAGGCATCCACTGGCGTCTTGTAACTCATCCCTGAAGATAAAGAGAGCTGAATACACTCTAACTGCCATTTTACTGTGTGGACATGGCTCTACCCCTCACGCAGTGACCATTTTCAAGAGCTTACCCTCTATGGTTCCTTTAAATGCTTTGATTATGCTTACAAATAATCTGTGTGTGGTCATCTGTGTCTTGGTCATTTCTTTATTCCTGGGGCCCAGGAGGGCAGGAATCTGTTCATTTTCATTTCTATCCCTCCACACTGAAACTTGTGCCACTAAAAACCTGCCAACACTGTGTTTTTTTTAATCAATTTGGTTCTTAATAATTTTATATATGTGTAATGAAACTTTCATAAATGCTAATTTGCATTTCATTAGGTCATGGAAGATGTGTGTGCATCTTCATGTGATTTTATATCTATTTTTCTTTTTAAAAATATTTTATTATTTTTTATTTTATGTGTATGAGTGTACTGCCTGCATTCACGTAAGTGCACCCATGTCATGCAATGCCCTTGGAGATCAGAAAATGGCATTGAATCTCCTGGAACTGGAATTAGGATGGTTGTTAGCTGCCATGTGGATGCTAGGAACCAAACCCAGGTTCTCTGCAACAGCAGCCAAGACTCTTAACCACTAAGCCATGTCTCCAGCCGCTATTTTTCTTACCTATAAATTCATGACACAGAGTTTGGATGTTGCCAAAATATATTTCTAACAACTCTTAACAGGATTATGAATTTATTTTATTTACACTTTATTTGCTTATGGTGTGTGTGTGCGCACGTGTGTGTGTGCGTGTGTGTGTGTGTGTGTGTGTAAATGTGCATTACAGTACATGTGTGGAAGTTAGAGGACAACTCACAGAAGTCAGTCTATCCTTCTACCCTCTGGGTCCCAGGGATCAAACTCAGGTAGTCAGGCTTAGCAGCAAGTGCCTTTACCCATGGAGCCATCTCATTGGCCCTTATTTTCATTTTAAAAAGTGTTTTCTGGGTTGGAGAAATGACTCGGTGGTTAAGAGCATCTGCTGTTCTTCCAGAGGACCTGAGTCCAGTGTTCTGAGCCCAGGGCTCCAAGCATGCTACACAAACACTCCACCAGCTGTGTATGCATGTTTTGCCTGCATGTATGTAACTGCATTTGTGTCGTGCAATGTCCATGGAGGTCAGAAGAGGGCATGAGATCCACTGGAACTGGAGTTACAGATGGTTGTTAGCTGCTATGTGGGTGCTGGAAACCAAACCTGGAAACAAGCCTTAGGGTCCAGTGTGGGCTAGCTCCCAAGAGACTGAATGTGTCTGATGGGCTGTGAGAGGAACCTTATCATAACAAGATGAATATTTACCCGACCATAACAGCTTCTATAGTGATCTCAAAATTCTGAAGCCAGGACATGGCAAATAAGAAAGAAAATAATGGCATTGCAGCCAGAGCAATGGGGGCGACGAGGGGTCCTGACACAAGGACCTAGAAATGTGGCTCTGGGTCTCGTCATCTCATTAAGAATCTTGATGCTTCTTTACCGATCTCAAAATTCTGACCTCAGGACTTGGCAAGTAGGAGAAACTAGGGAACCAAGATGGTGAAGCAACGCACATTGGCAGGGCAGAATGGAGTCTGGAGGCCCACGTGCAATGACCAGGCAGACCCAAGCCAGACCCAAGTCAGACTGCCTGCCCATATGCCCCAGTGGCACCCATGGTCGGCAGACCATAACCATCACCCAGTGGCTGTCAAGACGTGGCTGCAGTACTCAATGACATTAGGAACCTGGGAAGGCTTCAGATTTCATAAAATAAACTAGAGGACACTGGTGTTAAGCTGTTATGTGAAGCGGTGAAACTTCCAAACTGCCACTCAGAGAATCTTGGATTGAAGGCCTGTGAGCTAATTGCTGCCTGCTGTGAGGACCTGGCTTCTGCTTTTACCCACAGTAAAACCCTGAGGGGAATCAGCCTGTTGGACCTTGATCCACAGTGGTGTCATTGTGGTGAGTGAGGACGGGAAACAGCCAAAGAGTAACCTGTTTGCAAGGACTGTGGACAACTAACTCTGATGAGGAAAACCAAGGTTTCCCACCACTGAGAAAAAAAAGAAATCCCAACGTGACATTCCTAAGCAGTGTGTAAGAGAAACAGAAATTAAGAGTGAAAACCCCATTCCAGGAAACCTGGGTGTATCCTGACCCAAAAGCACATACAAAGAAAAGGGAGTGGGCCTGACCTTGGCACATCTGCGCGTGAGAATTACAGATCACTGACATTCTAATGAGACGATTTCTCCAGCACCCAGCTCAGATGTGTTATGTTAAGATGGACTGGGTTTTCATTTGCTAATAGAAGACACAAAGATGGAGTTGGGGGGTGGGAGGGTAAGAGGGGAGATGGGGAGGAGGTCTGAATAAAATCAAAATTCATTGTATGAAATACATAAATCAATAAAATTTCTCTCTCTCTCTCTTTTTTTTTTTTTTTTTTTTTTTTTTTTTTTTTAAAAAAAAAAAAAAAAAAAAAAAAAAAAAGAGGACGATAAATCTTTCACTGTGATATATCAAAATAATTTGAGACAGGGTCTCCCTGTAGCCCCAGCTGTCCTGGAACTCACTATGTAGACCAGGCTGACCTTGAACTCACAGAGATCCACCTGCCT